TTCCAGGGTCCAGGGATCAAGTCCTTCATCGGGCTCCATGCTCATCGGGTAGCCTACTTCTCCCTCTCCCTCTACCCCTCCCCCACCGCACTCATGCTCGCTCGCTCACGCTCTCTCTCTCTCTCAAATAAATAAAATCTTCTAAAAATTAAAAAAAAAAGATATCAGTTTTCCTCACCTTGGTCTACAAATTTAACACAATCCCTATCAGAATCCCAGCATATATTTTCTCTCTCCTTTTTTTTAAAGATTTATTTATTTCAGAGAGAGAGAGAGCAGGGGCAGGGGGAGAGAGAGAGAGAGAGAATCCTCGAACTGACTCCCCACTGAGCACAGAGCCTGACACGTACCTCTGATTCATCGAACCGTTATGTACAATGCTAAGACATGGAAGCAACCTGTCTAACGATAGACAATGGATAAGGAAGGCTCAATCTCAGACCTCTGAGATCATGACCTGAACGAAAATCAAGAGTCAGACACTTAATGGACTGAGCCCCCCAGGCATCCCCAGCAGGTTTTTTTTTTTTTTTAATTAACAAGTTGATGCTTCATACTGAAATGCACTAGAATGTCCAAAAGAACATGGAAACAGAAAAAAAGTTTGAGGACCAACACTACCTGATTTAAAGACTTATTACAGGGGCACCTAGGTGACTCAATCAATCAAGCATCTCTAAGTCTTGATTTCGGCTCAGGTCATGATCTCAGCATTGTGAGATCAAGCCCTGAGTCAGACTCCATGTTGGGCATAAAGCCTCCTTGGGATTCTCACTCTCCCTCTCCCTCTGCCCCTCCCCCACTCATGCACAAGATCTCTCTCTCTATCCCTCTCTCTCTGATAAATAAAATCTTTAAGGGACGCCTGAATGGCTCAGTTGGTGGATCATCTGCCTCTGGCTCAGGTCATGATCGCAGGGTCCTGGGATCGAGCCCCACATCGGGCTCCCCACTCAGCAAGGAGTCTGCTTTTCCCTCTCCCTCTGCCCTTCCCCCCATTCATGCTCTCTCTTTCTCTCTCTTTCTCTCTCTCTCAAATAAATACATAAATAAAATCTTTTTTTAACAAAAGATTCCACATATAAGTGAAATCATATGGTATCTTTCTCTGTCTGACTTACCTCACTTAGCGTAATATCCTCTAGGTCCATCTATGTTATCACAAATTGCATTCTTTTTTAAGGCTGAGTGATATTCACATATGTATGAATATATATGAAGATAGATAGATAGATACCATTTCTTCTTTATCCATTGTCTATCAACGGACACAGGTTGCCTCCATGTCTTGGCATTATACATAACAGCTTGATGAATACAGAGGTACATATATCTTTTCAAAAAAGTGTTTTCATTTTCTTTGGGCACCCAGCAATGGAATTACTGGACTGCACAGTAAGTTCTTTCTTTTTTTTTTTTCTTTTTGAGATTTTATTTATTTATTTGAGAGAGAGAACATGTGTGTACAAACAAGGAGAGGGGCAGAGGGAAAGGAAGAGGGACAAGGAGATTCCTGGCTGAGCAGGAAACCCAGCACAGGCTCAATCCCAGGACCCTGGGACCATGACCTGAGCCAAATTCAGACGCTTAACCAATTGAGCCACCCAGGTACCCCTGGACTGTATGGCAGTCTTATTTTTAATTTTTTGAGGAAACTCCATACTGTTTTCCACAGTGGTGCATCAATTTACATTCCCTCCAACAGTGCACAAGAGTTCCTTTTTCTCCACACCCTCACCAACATTTGTTTTTATTTGTCTTTCTGAATCTAGCCATTCTGACTGCTGTGAGGTGATATGTCATTGTGATTTTGTTTTGTATTTCCTAGATCTTGAATAACGTTGAACATCTTTTCATGAGTCTGTTGCCCATCTGTGTGACTTCTTTGGAAAAATGTCTATTCAGGTTCTCTATTTTTTATTCAGATTGTTTGGGGGGTGGTTTGTTTTGTGGGGTTTTTTTTTTTTTTTTTTGCTGTTGAATTGTATGAGTTCTTCATGTATTTTGGAAATTAACCCCTTATGAGATATATCATTTGTAAATGTTTCCTCCTATTCAGTAGGTTGCCTGTGCATTTTGTTGATGGTTTCCTCTGATGTGCAAAAAACTTTTTAGTTTGAAATGGTCCCAGCAGTTCATTATTGCTTTTGTTTCCTTTACCTTCTGTTCCCTTCCATAAATACGTTTCCAAGGCCAATGCCCAAGAGATTACTGCCTATATTATCCTTTAGAAATTTTATGATTTTAGGTCTTATATTTAGGTCTTTAATCCAGTTTGAGTTTATTTTGTGTATGGTGTAAGAAAATGATCCAGTTTCTTTTTTTGCCTATAGCTGCCAGTTATCCCAATACCATTTATTGAAAAGACTGTCTTTTCCCCATTATATATTCTTGCTTCCTTTGTTGTAGATTAAATGACCATATAAGTGGGGTTTATTTCTGGGCTCTCTATCCTGTTCCATAGATTTATGTGTCTCTCTTTGTGCCATTACCATATCTTGTAAGCTTTTCTGATTTAAAGTCTATTTTGTCTGATACTAGTATAGTCTCCCTGCTCTCTTCTGGTTACTGTTTGTGTGGAATAGCCTTTTCCATTCTTTCACTTGTATGTCTGGATCTAAAGCAAGTCTCCCGTACATAGACAACAAATACTTGGGTCATGGCTTTTACCAATTTTGCCAATCTTTACCTTTTCACTGGAGAGTTTAATCCATTTACATTTAAAGTAATTACTGATAAGGAGGGACTTACTTCTGTCATCTGCTATTAGTTTTCTGTTTGCTTTATAGCTTTTTTTGTCCCTCATGTCTTGCCTTTACTGTCTTCTTGCATTTAGTTAATTTTTTAGTAGTGAAACATTTAAATTCCTTTCTCATTTCCTTTAGTATATATTCTGTGGCTATTTTCTTTTTTTTTAAGATTTTATTTATTCATCTGGCAGACAGATCACAAGTAGGCAGAGAGGCAGGCAAAGAGAGAGGGGGAAGAAGGCTCCCTGCTGAGCAGAGAGCCCGACACGGGGCTCGATCCCAGGACCCTGAGTTCATGACCTGAGCTGAAACAGACTCTTAACCCACTGAGCCACCCAGGCGCCCCCTATGGTTATTTTCTATGTGGTTACTATAGGAATGATATCTACCATCTTACAGTTATATCACACTAATCTGAATTTATACCAGTTTACTTTCAGTAAAACCCAAAATCTCTGCTCCTTTAACAGCTCAGTTGTTACCCTTTTAGTTGTGGGTATCTCAGAATTATATCTCTATATATTATGTGCAATAGTTACTTCTTACTATAAAAAGAAGCTGTGGAAACACTCAATAAATTGCATAAATATCCAGAGAATTATACTGAATGGAAAAAGCGAATCTCAAAAGGTTGCATACTGAGAGATTACATTTATATAACATTCTTGAAATGACAAAATTATAGAAACGGAGAGCACAGATTACTTGCTGTCTAGGGTGAAAGATGGAGTAAAGGAACGGGAGGTAAAGTGTGGGTATAATAAGTCAACGTGAGGGATCCCTGTGGTGATGGAATGTCCCATGTCTTGACTGTATCAATGTCAATAGTCTGGTTGTGATATTGTATTATACGTGGGCAAGATGTTACCATAGGGGAAACGTAATGGGTACACTGAGTCTCTCTGCATTGTTTCTTACAACTGCATGTGAATCTATAATTATCTCAACATAAAAAGTTCAAGTTTAAAAATACTAGAAACTTCTATTATAAAATGTTATCATTTATTAATTCTGAAGCCATTTGTTAATTCTGAATTGTGGTGACATCAGCATGTAGTTATAATAGCACTAAGAAAAACACAACCAGGAACTCCTGGGTGGCTCAGTTGGTTAAGAGTCTGCCTTCAACTCAGGTCATGATCCCAGGGTCCTGGGATGGAGGCCCACATGGGGCTCCCTGCTCGGCGGGAAGCCTGCTTCTCCCTCTCCCACTCCCTCTGCTTGTATTCCCTCTCTCACTGTCTCTCTATGTCAAATAAATAAAATCTTTTTTAAAAAGAAAAGAAAAGAAAAACACAACCAAGGGTGCCTGGGTGGCTGAGTCAGTTAAGTGTCTGCCTTAGCTCAGGTCGTGATCTCAGGGTCCTGAGATGGGGTCAGGCTCTCTACATAGCAGAGTCTGCTTCTCCCTCTCACTCTCCCTCTCTGAAATAAATAAATAAAAATCTTAAGAAAAAAAAAAAAAAAAAGAACAACACAACCAGCAATTCACAGAAGAAATCAAATGACCAAGAAGAAACCCTCAGCATCTGAGGAGATAAAAATGAAAAGGATAGGAAGGAAAGGAAATAAATGGAAAATAAAAGGAAATACAACTTTTCATACACTTTTTAATCTTTGCAAAAGATAAACTCTTTTAAAGAGTCTGTTAAAAGTTTAAATCTTTTGAAGATTTGCAAAAGACTTAATCTTTTGCAAAGATTAAAAAGGTGGAGAATATTTGACCAAAATGTGGAAATTAAGCACTATAGTACACTGCTGGTGAAACTATAATTGGTACAAATTGTGAAAGGGGAATTTTGTGTTCTCTTATCAAAGAGTCCTACATGTCCTACAGTAATGCGTTTTTAGAAAATGAACACAAATTGTTATTGCAGTAATATACTTAAGAACAAATAATGAGGTGTGGGGTGCCTAGGTGGCACAGTTAAGACACTGACTCTTAGTTTCAGCTCAGGTTGTGACGTCAGGGTAGTGAGATGGAGCTCCACATTGTGCTCTGTGCTCAGCAGGGAGTCTGCTTAACCTTCTCTTCTTCCTCAGCCCCTCACCTGCCTGTGCATACCCACGTACACGTCTTCTCTCTCTCTCTCTCTCTCTCTCTCTCTCTCTCTCTCCCCAAAATAAACAGACGGATCACTGAAAAAAATAATTGGGGGAAAGAAATCTTAACCATTTTCATCTCAGGAATGGTTAAAAATAAGGTGCTCTATGAACCAAGATGATGTTTTATTGTTACTGTTAGGAAAAATGAGGTAAAGACTTCCAATGAGGGGGGATGTCAACACATTCTCATTAAACGTCACTCCCTAAGACCAAACGAAACAACAAAGAGAACCCATATTATAAAGAAAACCTCCAAGTTTTCTGAAGCCTTTAGGTGGCACAGTCAGAAACTGCTAAGTTCCAAGAGCTGCCAAATACACTGGAATTTGGATAAAATCCTGGAAGGGCAGACACAGACCCTCTGTTGATCTCACACTGAGCACAGAGCCCTCCAAAACAGGCGACTGTCCCCAAGACCCCCACCAATACTCCTTTACCTGCGGGCCAGTAGGGCACCAAACCCGGCCTGGAGAGGAGCCACCACCGCCCAGCTCCTGCAGCAAAGCCCACGTGGATGATGTCTGGTGCTGATGCTGTGCGGGGATGCCTGGGACGATACAGACCAGATCTAGGAGTGGATGGGTTTTGGAGAGCAAAAAAGGTAAAGGGAGTCTCCTTGGCTTTTTTTTTTCCTCCCGCCAAAGTAAGTTGGCGCACCATTTGTGTCACTTTTTCAAAGTTCAGAGGGTTTTTTGTTTTGTTTTTTCTTTCTTTTTTTTTTTTTTTTTTTTTTTTTTAAGATTGATTTGTTTATCCTAGAGAGAGAAAGCTCGCGCGAACTTGGCGCCGGGCGGCGGGGGTAGGGCAGAATGAGATAGAAAGGGAATCTCAAGCGGACTCCGCCTTGAACCCCTGTGGGACGAGTGCTCAATCCTATGACCCTGAGATCATGACCTCAGCGGAAATCGGGAGGGGGATGCTTAATTGAGGAAGCCATGTAGGCGCCCCTGCATTTTGCTTTTTCAAACTCAGGACCTGGGAGGTCAAAACCTGAGCTGAAATCAAGAGCCTGACGCTTAACTCACTGAGCCACTCAGACCCCCTCAAAGCTCAGTTTTTTAAAATGGAAGCAAGCCCCAAGTGTAAATGCAGACACGTGGGGGAAAGTCTGGGATCCTCGGTTTTAAGTCTGTATTTGCCCATAATTCACTCTGCCACCACAAACATACTTCATAACATACGACACAAACATACTTCCAGCATCCGTAAAAAGCTAATAATCACTACCATTCGCCGGCCACCACGACAATCAACGGAAAGCTTTCAATTCTGGGGCCCTAACTCTTTTGCGAGCGGAATCCGCCCGCTAATCAGGTACTGTTTCGCTGGAGCCGAGGGCATCTCGGGACTTGTAGTCCAGACAGTGGAACTCGTCATCCCGGCAGGCCCAGCGGCTGCGTCAAGGTCACGTGCTGCCGCCGCCTTCGGCTGTGGTGACAAATGCAGGGCGGCTGCAGAGCTGGTCCGGGAGGGGTGTTTTGCGGCCCGCGGAGGCGCGCTTTTCTTCCACTTCGGGGAGACCGAAAAGAAGTGCTTTATTGAGGAGATTCCGGACGAGACCATGGTTATAGGTGCGGGTGGAAGGGGAGAGTTTGGAACAAGACCTTGGTCTTGGGGCGGGGGGCGCGGGAGCCGCGGGTCTCGTCGCGTCCTGGCGGGGCCCGACTCCACACCACCTCGCGCTCCTCTGACCTGGGTTCGCCCCACTTCCTCCAGGAAACTACCGGACGCAGCTGTATGACAAGCAGCGGGAGGAGTACCAGCCGGCCACCCCCGGCCTTGGCATGTTCGTGGAGGTGAAGGACCCAGAGGACAAGGTGAGCCGGCCCCTGAGCCCCGCCGAGCCCTCCGCTCTGCCCTTCCCCGCCAGACCCGGCAGGTGCTGGTTCTTCCCCTTCCTGCTCGCCGCAGCCGCTCCACTGCTGAGCATAGCTGGGTGCTGGGGAGAAAATCCCGGGCTTGCGCTCGAGGCCACAGTTGGGCTGCTGCGGGGCTGGCTAGCGGCTCCTCAGCTTCTTCCCGACTGCTGCCCGACTCGGCAGAGCCCCTTCCCCGCCCCGAGCCGCTGCGGTTTTCCTGGCCTGCGAGATGGAAAATCACCTGGCTGGTAGGCGTGGTTGGTGGATTAATTGTGGTGCTGGCCGTCAAAGAATTCCGGTCACTGTGATGCTGTGACACCTAGACTTGAGGATTTCCCAGAACGGGGTGCTTCCCAAACCGAGTGAGCAGCTTTTAATTTCGACAAGTAAGGATATTAAAGCCAAAGAAAAACAAAAATCCTTAGTTGTCACCTTTCATTTCAAAGAAGAACCAGACCAAAAGAGCGGAAATGGCAGGAGCTCCGCGAATAAAGAGCCCTTCCCAAGAGCAGTCACATGTCAGCTCCGTCTCAGACCCTTCACCCCTGCCCGAGAAAGTTCTCAGACAGGCTTTTGGCAACTGCTGCAGAGCAGCTCTCTGGACCTTGTCGTGTTGTGAGGTGCTTAGGACCCTGTTTGCCAACTTTTAGGCACTCAGAGCGTGAAGCCCTGTTTCCTTCCAGCCTCATCCCCCCGTAACACTTGCTGAAGCCCCTTTTCCCTAGGTCATGCTGGGTGGGCAGTATGGCTCTGAAGGCAGCTTCATTTGCACCTCCCATACCCCCGGCAAATACCAGATCTATCCTGTGGTCTCTCTTAGAGTCCGGATTATGATAGCAATATGTGCCATTCCTTCTGGCCAGAACACACTTCCCCCAGCTGCTTCCTCATCACAAATGCAATTCTAAAAAGCACCCTTCTCTGACCATCTAGACTAGGCCAGCACTATATCATGTCATTTTTGGCGCATATCCTTCTCAGAAGCACGCACTACCTTTACCTGTTGTTTGAGCCCTGCCTCATTTGGTATCAGATATGTGCGAGAATGCGCCTTTCTGGATCATTTTGCTTTTTCTATGAAAGAGAGCAGAGCAACCCCCCCCCCCGACTCACACACACATCCCTTCAGATAAGGGTAATGGGCCCTAAGATCACATACTTTGGTGTGAGGTTACTCTCAGTGGTTCTCCCCACCCCCAGCCTTCAGTTTAGTCCACTCATACTTTCCAGAAGCTAGTCAGGACCACACCCACAAATGAGCAAATACCCAAGGCTTGCAGTGTTCCTCAAGCGTATCCTAGGGGAGGATGTGTCTGTCTCAGGGGCCAAGTGCTTGGGTTGTTGCCCTAACCCCCTCCTTATGGGGAGTCTCCCTTTATTGACGTCCTTAGCCTTGAGGAGTTGGACTTCATTTTGTTGAGGGTGCCAGCCAGTGAATTTCCTTATCACAGAAAATGTCAGATTCACATGTGAGATGACTTTCCCAACAGGGCAACCAACAGAGTTCAGATGAGGCAGAAGCACTGGGTACCTAGATGCCTGGTTATCTACACCTGTGTGCACCTGTGACGGTTGAGTTAACGAGATGCTGACTCTAATGAAAACAGTTACTTGAAATCCTATTTTAAAAAAAGAAAGAAAGCATCTCCTGAAAAAAAGTCAACCTGGGACATCATAAAGAGAAACACAGGTTGGTTGAAGAGTAGTATGAAAACAGAGGTGCCTGTCCAACTGCCTGGAAAAAACCAGCAGAAGAGCACATGTGGGGACCAGAGCCCCACAAAGAGGCACAGGATTAGCACAAGCACTCAGGTTACCCATAAGATGGGCCCAAATTGAACTTTTCTTGAAAGGGCTCCACAAGTTGCTAAGGCTTTTGGAGAACAAGCTTTCTTCACCCCATCCATTTTGGGATCAGTCCCCACCAAATGCATGCAGAGCCTTAATGTTAATATCTGGTTAGAAACAAAACACCAGAATGAATTGCAGAGTGGGAGGCAATAAATATTCAGGTCAGAAAGTTGGCAGTTTATAGACACTCTTAATTCTCTCCATCTTGGGACAGTTCATCGAGGTTAGCCATAGGGGGTGGGGGCACCCTCCCCTTCCTCCTCAGCAGCCCAGAGCCCCAGAGAATCCTGCAGCTCCCCAGCCAAGCATCTGGCAGGAAACCCATCCTCTCCCAAGTGCCAGCTGAGAAACCAGTTCAAAGAGGTCCTCCGTCACCCCCACCCCCACCCCAACCCCCGTGGGGTTGTGGGAATCCGAAGCCAGGAAGTACACCAGGCCAGGCCACTTGCCATCAGTTAAGAGAAAGGGAATGAGTTCGGGCTAGGTTTCTGGGGCCCGCCTACACCAACTTCTTGGCTTTAAAGAAACTCTTGAGGTGCCGCATCTGCCAGACACCGGCGGCAACCAGGATGAGGGTCTGCATAATGGACCACCACAGCACCTGTTGGTTGGTGCTCTCGCTTGTCTGCCGGAAGCGCTCCTCTCGCCACTGTGGGAGGAGAGAAGGGAAAAGATGCCTGTCTAGAGCGCCCTCTGGGGGCAGAGCTGGAAGAGCCACTTCCCAGGAGGTCACACATCGTACCCTATCCCAGCTGGGCCAACCCAGCCCCTCACCCTCTGGTACTCCTGCTCCTTCTGGATCAACTCCACCTGTTCCACAAGCTGCTGTAGGCGCAGATGCAGCTGGGTCAGCTTGTCCTTGGCCGCAAATTCTGCATAATCATTGGTGTGTTCGCCCAACTGCATGTCCAAGTGAATGGCCTAGAATGGGGAACCCAGGAGGGGGTAGTCAGGGAGCTCAGCTCCATGAACCTGCCGGAAATCTAGCTTCTACATCCCCAGCTGGGCCTTACACTGGGAGTTCCATTCCTTACACACAGACTCGGTGACTGGCCCTGCTCTGTGGGTCCAGACACCAGACCAGGACCTGGCTTGTGTGGAGTTCTATATTCAGAACACAAACGATGGGACAACATGTGCAGAGAAATAGAGCTGTGACTCTGAACCAGGCAGTTTACTAGAAGTTTTGAATTGGGAGGTGACATTGGAGAGCCCAGAAGCGCTCAGATGCAGAATAGCTCTAAACCTCCTGTTACGAAGCCTGGTCTTTATCCTATGGCCTGGAGCCAAGGGAGCATTTTAAGTCTGAGTGACTCCCTCCTCAGGTCCCCTTTCATCCTCAGGACCGGTTCTTGGGATGCGTACTTGAGGTAAAGTCCCAGCCCTACTCAATAGGTACCACCCACCACAGCCTTCTCACTCTATAGAGGCTGAGAAAGGGAACACCTGGGGACGGTGGACCTCCCGCCTGCCACACTCACCAGCTTGCCATCATAGAAGAGGGCGAACCGGATGGACTCGAGGTGGAGGCAGATCTGGTGCTCTCCTGGAGACTGAGAGGTGAAGGTGAAGCTTCCCTGAGGGCCGTACTGCCGGGCCAGGAGGTTCTAGAGGAAGCAGCCTTCAGTGAGCACAAGTTAGCCGTGTACCTGCTTCCAGGAGATTTCAGGAGAATCCCAGGTGCAGACCCCCGCAGGCCAGAGGGGTGGGTGTAAGGGAAATGGGATCGGTTTGGCTGGAAATTCCCATATTCCAACGTTAATACAGAATACAGGATTGCAAAGACCATGGCCCTCCTTGAGCTAGCCTGCCTGTCAGGAAACACCTTCTGTGAGAAATGAGGAACCAGAGAAGGCCACACATTGATGCTGGGACCTTGGGGGTGCTGCAAGGAGTAAAGGCCTGCCTCACCTTGTTCTCAGGGTCCTTCACAAACACGAACAAATTGATCCACTGTGGGGAGGGCTGGTACTTTTCCATAGCAGGGTCGTATAGCTCAGTCTTGTAGTTACCTAATGGAGAGGCAAGAGAGGTGCATTCCCAACCATCCCCCTGACCCAGACCTGGTGGTCCGGGGTGGGGGGGGGGGACAGGAAGATCTCGAGTCTGAGGAGCCTGACCACGGCCCTCTGCCGCTCCTCCCTTCTCCAGCACCCCTTCTCTGCCCTCGTTAGAGTCTGCATCAGACTCGGTGCCCCCCGGCCCCGCACAGGCAAGAGAGAGGATGCCTTGGCCAGACTACTGTCCACCCATTACCCCCGAGCCTACCCCCGCCCCCGGCAGGGGAGGGGAGGTGGGGTCTGAGCTGGTGCCACGGAGCCCTATTCCCCTCCCCTCTCGACACTGGGTGCAGGGAGGGCAAGGCCGGAAAGGCCGGCGCGCGCACCTATGACCACGGTACCATCGGGGATCTCCTGGATGAAGCACTTCTCTTCCAGCTCGCGGACCTCGAGGTAGAAGGCACCCCCATGGCCCATAAGCGCCAGCAGCTGCCCTAGCAGCAGCGGCAGGCCATACCGGTTGCTCGCGCTCTGCTCCATCCCTGCCCGGGGCCAACCCCGGGCCCAGCTCCTCGAGCCCCGCAGGCCCCCGCCACCTTCGCAGGCGAGTCCACGGGTCTCCGCGCGGAGCCTGCGGAGACTGCGAACGCGCTCGCGGACTACAACTCCCGGGAGCCGCCGCGCGGCCCCGCCCCCGGCGCGTTCCCGCCGACCCACGCAGCGAAGGGGTCCCGCGAGCCCCCACCCAACCCAGGCCCCGCTTCGCTTGCTCCGCGCAGAAACTCGGGGAGGCATAGGTGCTGTTAGCCCTTCTTCCTGTTTGAGGTAACAGCCTCAGAGAGTGGAGGGGGCTTGCCCTCTGCAACTTACAGGGCAGCCACCCCAGATGTGTGCGGAAAGAATGGGGATAATGGGAAGTTTATTACTTGGACTTGAACCTCGAAGAGCTTAGGATTGATTGGGGAAAGGAGGTGACATGGCGAGACGGAATGAGAAGCCCAAGTCTGAAGCAGTAATTCAAGAAGGGGAGGAGGAGATGTCGCGGTTTTCATGGAAGGGATTAGATTTGACTCAAGCCTTGAAAGATGGTTAAAATCTCCCTGAGCAGCGGGGAACAAGAGCAATTTCGGCAGGGGAACGTAGCATTGCCTAGCAGCCAGACCAGTTAAGGGACTGGGGGAAGAAAAGTTATAGGAACGTGGAGGGAGGAGGCAACTGGGCTGAATCTGAGGGCGCAGGAGGTGTCAAGCCTGCTTGAACAGGGGAGCCCTTCATCCAGCGTACTTTTCTCTGCATTGGTGAGCCTGGAGGGAAGAGAAGATGGCAAGCAAGCCACTGGAAAAGGCTAGGGGTATACAACTGAAAGGGGTGGTAGGATGAAGCCAACATGACAAAATGGGGACCCAGAAAAAGCAAATCTCGAGAAATCAAAAGTTCACAGTGCCCTGGGTAGAACAGTGTGGACCCAAATGTGTCAACAGAAAGCTGTAGCCCAACCCAGGTAATGGGATGAAGTCTTCCACCACCTAGTGCCTGGTAGTAAGAGGTGCTCGTCAGTTTATTCAGCAAATATGATGATGATGATGATGATGATGATGTGTGTGTGTGTGTGTGTGTGTGTGTGTAAAATCAATACAGGGTGTTAAGATTGACAATATGGGGGTGCTGGGTGTCTCAGTTAAGCGTCTGCCTTCAGCTCAGGTCATGATCCCAGGGTCCTCAGATTGAGGCCCACATGCTCACTGGGGAACATGCTTCTCCCTCTCCCTCTGCCTTCCACTCCTCCTGCTTGTGCTCACTCTCACTCTCTCTCTCTCTCTGTCAAATAAATAAATAAAATCTAAAAAAAAAAAAAAAAAAGAGATTGACAATGTGTTTTTTAGTTACCAAGAATGGTCCCCTCATTTTAGTGGTGTAGTTCACTGGCAATCCTAGGGGAGCGTTTTTTATTTCTTCATTGGGAATGATCATTAAACAAAAATGACAGATTTGGATGTTAACGAAAGTCATACTTTAGAAAGGTCAAATAAGACAAGAGCTGGAAAGCATCTGTTGGATCTGAGAGCTAGTTGTTCACCAGGGGAGTTAGCCAGAGCTGGGAGCAGAGGTAGAAATCAGGCTTGGGAGGGAGAGGTGCTGTCCGTGGTCCTGAACCGTCATTCCTCTCCAGACCAGTACCACCACTTAGAGTAAAGCATAGGCTCTGTTTTGTTTTTAGTAAAATATGCAATCCCTCACAAGGCAATACTCCTATAAAATACAACAAAAAAATGAAACTAATCGTGTGTCTGGATATCACATCAATATTAAATTTCTGTAAAAATTCCTAAACACTTACTCAATATCTGCACTTACCTCATTGCAGACCTATAACAAACATGAACCAGTACCAGCACCCACACTACACTGTGAATACCACTCTTGCATGGCAGTGGTCCATTGGCCAGACTGCCCACAGGAACCTCCCAAAGGGTCAAAAGTGGAAAATGCTTGCAGCTACATGTATGTAAGGATATAGATTTCAAGGCACAGAACCCAGACATTAGGAAGGAGTTGGACATGACTGTCCAAGTAGCGCAAGTGTTTTGTCGAAATAGAACAACCGGGGGTGGGGGTGGGGCTGGGTGGCTCAGTCAGTTAAGCATCTGACTTTGGCTGGGGTCCTGGGCTCAGTCCTGGTATAGGGCCTCATGGAGGTGGGCAGGGAGGGGGCCCTCTGCACTCAGTGGGGAGTCTGCTTTTCCCACTCCCTCTGCCCCCCCCCACCCTCATGTTCTCAGGCATGCACACACTCTCTCTCTCTCCCCCTGAAAGGAAGGAAGAAGGAAGGAAGGAAGGAAGGAAGGAAGGACAACTGTTTCTGACCAATAACAAGACTAGGAACATAAGAGCAGTGAACCCACCCTTCTGGGATCCTCCCACTTGGCAAAAATCTCATTCCACAATGACTGCCAAGATCACTGAACCTATGTGCCATTTGTGACATTCAAAGAAGACACTGGGGTGGTACATCTACTTGCCTCATCTGTGGTTCACTGAAGACCTCAGACTTAGGTTTTTTTTAAAGGAGAGATTTATTTGAAGAAATACTACAGCATATAAAATTGCATAAAGACTTAATTTCCACTCATACAGTGGTAGATTTGATATAATTTATAATTTAAAAACTTTTTTAAGAAATCCAGAATCAGGGACACCTGGGTGGCTCAGTCGGTTAAGCGTCTGCCTTTGGCTCAGGTCATGATCTCAGGGTTCTGAAATTGAGCACCGAATCAGGTTCCTTGCTGAGCTGGGAGCTTGCTGCTTCTTCTCCTTCTCCCTCACCCTCTGCAGCTCCTCCTTCTGGTGTGTGCTCTCTCTCTCTCTCTCTCTCTCTCTGAAATACACGAAGATTGGGGCACCTGGGTGGCTCAGTGGGTTAAACCTCTGCCTTCTGCTCAGGTCATGGTCTCAGGGTCTTGGGATCAAGCCCCACGTCAGGCTTTCTGCTCAGTGGGGAGCCTGCTTTCCCCTCTCTCTCTGTCTATCTCTCTGCCTACTTGTGATCTCTCTCTCTGTGTCAAATAAATAAATAAAATCTTTTTTAAAAATTAAAAAAAATTACACAAAAATCTTTTTTAAAAAGTGGAGCCTGTTGAAATTATTCCAACTAGTCAATCCTAAACCTGCTCACTTGCTCCCCGCACCTCCCATTCCTTCCCATAAAAATACATTAAAGGCTTCTACCCATGCTTTCCTGTCACTCTCTCTACCCCCAGACAGACCCTGGCGCTGTCCCCTGTAGCCCTTGAGTGGTGCAGTATAGTCACTTGTCTTGAGAACTATGGGTAAGAAACTATCTTTCAATGGCAACCATCTCCTAATCTGTTGGCCTCACCATACTGGAATAAAACCTACATTTGAGGGGTGCCTGGGTGGCTCAGTGGGTTAAAGCCTCTGCCTTCGGCTCAGGTCATGGTCTCAGGGTCCTGGGATCGAGCCCTGCGTCGGGCTCTCTGCTTGGCAGGGAGCCTGCTTCCCTTCCTCTCTCTCTTCCTGCCTCTCTACCTACTTGTGATCTCTGTCTGTCAAATAAATAAATAAAATCTTTAAAAAAACAAAGAAAACCTACATTTGAGTACAGGGAAATCAGAAACATGGGAGGGGCTATGGGATGATGGGGCAGAGGGAGGAAAGGGGAGGTAAGTAGGGTGCATCTGTGTCACTGTCTGCTTTTGCCATCCTGCCCCTCTTCACTCCACGTTGGTCTCCACATTTCGTCCCTTCCCTCCCTTTTCTCTGTTTTTTTTTTTTCATCAGAGACAATGAATGACCTTTGAACTTTGAACCTGAAGAATGAGGCCTCCCCCATGCAGGAATGGTGAAAAGTCTTCCTTCCAGGGCAGGAGCAGTTACTGGTTAGGGAACTTGACAAAGGGTGACAATAGAAGATGCTCTGAGAAATCCGCTTCATCTGTGCAACCTCAGACGTGAGGAGAAAGGATCTGCCCTTGGGGGGGGAGCTGAACCCAGAGAAGTGTCCTGGTGCCTCAGTCAAGTCTGCATTTCTTTAACTGTCCAGAAGAGATGTTTAGAAGACAGATAACTTTGAGGAGACTGCAAGCATTTTACTATGGGAAAATGTCATGGCATTTTGGCCATAGTAGAGCTGAGACTTAGGTGGGCAGGTGTGTAGCGTTTGGCCACATTTCCCCTAGAAGTCCTCTGAGTCTTGGAGTCAATGATTTCCTGACTCTCAGGGACTGAGGCACAGCCTGGCTACTCTCTTAATTTGCCCTATCCACGGGTACCCCCCCAGAGTATTGGGGAGCAGGAGGACACAAGCCCTCAGTTAGGGTTCAGTCAGGCACAGACATGTAGGACAGACTGCCCAAAACCTCAAGAACAATGGATGGGACACCCAATGAGACTCCTGAGAAAACTCACCAGGAGTGGAAGGATCCTGTTAGAGGGACCACTGGAAGCCTAAGGAGGGTGGCGAAGGTCGTTCAGCAGAACATTGTGATATCCCGGAATTCAGCACCAGCACCCTCATGTCTAGGTGTTCTAAGATAGAGAGCAAAAGGAAAAGAACTTCCTTAGGAATTTTCTTTGTAGAGATGGTCACAAGGAATGGAAGTTGTTTTTCCACAGTCCAGGGGGGAAGATGAGTGTAGAAGGCAGTGGTTCAGAGGAAGGGGTGGCTTGGTGGTGTTCTGGGGATGGTGTGAAAATCAGCACCAAACCAAAAGAACCATCCACACCAGAGCAGAAGACTTGCACAGGGCAGCTCTGATTTTATGTACAGAACATCCCACCCTTACTATGCCCAGGTCAGGATGCCTGTGGAAATAATCAGGAGGAGACATCACAAGAAAACCAGACATGGAGTATGGAGATTTTGGCTTTTCCTGTAATTACGTGTCATCATTACCATTCTTCCCTCTTTCCCTCCCCCTCCTTCTTCCTTGCTTGCTTCCCTCTGCCTTCCTTCTTCCCTCTTCTCTCTGTCCTTCACTGTTTCCTTCTTCTCCCATCTTCTCTTTCATTTTCACGCCTCTCCCTCCTTTTCCCTCCATATTCTTTCCTTTCTCTCTCTTTCTCTCTCTTCCCTTTCTCCAAGCAAACATCAACTGCATACTGAGGCTGTTGCTAGTTTTTTGCTAGGCTGTGGGGAGCACCAGAGATAAATCTGAAGCAGGAGGCCCTATCTTTATCTCTTCAGGCTATCAGGCCGGGAGCACCTTGCTTGTGAATGGGCTATTGCAATTCAATGTGGTTAACACTGCAATAGGGGCATTGTCAAAGCACCCAGACAAAGGAAACAAATAAGACAATGCTGCTGAACCTGTCTTAATAGGATAAAAAGGAATTGGGCAAATGGAGAAGGAGGTAGGGATGGAGGCTCAGAGCTGAGCTCCCCCCCAACTTTTGTGTGTGCTCCCTCTAAAAAATAGTAATTACCATAAGGAGGGACTTAACTTCTGTCATTTTGCTATTTGTTTTCTATTTCCTTATAGCTTTTATTTTGGTCCCTCTACTCTTGCTACCTTCTTTTGCATTTAGTTAAATTTTTTTTAAAGATTTTATTTATTTATTTGACAGATAGAGATCACAGGTAGGCAGCGAGGCAGGCAGAGAGAGAGAGAGGAGGAAGCAGGTTCCCCGCTGAGCAGAGAGCCCGATGTGGGGCTCGATCCCAGGACCCTGGGATCATGACCTGAGCCGAAGGCAGAGGCTTTAACCCACTGAGCCACCCAGGCGCCCCGCATTTAGTTAATTTTTTACTCTTCTTCTACTATTTACTTTTACTATCTTCTTTTGCATTTAGTTATTTTTTTAGTTGTGAAACATTTAAATTCCTTTCCCATTTCCTTTTCTGTATGTTTTACGGCTATTTTCGTTGTGGTTACCATGTGAATGACATTTAATATTCTAAAGTTAAACATTCTAATTTGAATTTATACCAGTTTACCTTCAATAACAGAGAAAACATCTCTGCTCCTTTAATAGCTCTATTCTCACCCCTTTTTTGTGGTTGATATCAAACAAATTATGGCTGTACACATTGTATGTTATGGCTACTTTTTTGCTATAATTATTGATGTAAGCAATAAGCTGATTAAATCTCCAGATAATTAACCGAGTGAAAAAAGCCAATCTCAGAAGTTTACATACTGTATGGTTTCATTCATATAACATTCTTGAAATGACAAAATTA